ATATCAATGTTAGTTCAATTGTAACAAATGTACCACATAGATGCAGGATGTTAATAATAGAGGAACTGGGTAGGGGTAGGAGAGAAGTATATGGAAACTTTCTGCTAATTTTTATGCAAACCTGAAACTGCCCTAAGAAACAAAGTCTATTAATTTTTAAAAAGTTATAGTAATTTAAATCTCTGTCACCTGAGTATGAGAATTCCTATTACTTTACTTCTTCAACAATAATTGACATTGACAGATTTCTTAATTTTTGCAATTCTGGTGAATAGAAACTGATATCTCACTGTGGTTTTACTTTCTATTTCTCTGATTATTTATAAAGGAGAGCATCTCAGCCTATGTTTATTGGATATTTGTGGCAGAGATGGCTGGCTGTCCACCAAAATTTCATGACCTCATTCCCACGCGAGAAGTTGTCACTGGGAGGCAGCTGCCACATTTTCTACTAATTTAGGTGTAGGTGCATGGCATCTTCTCTCCAGTCAAAGAGAATGTGTCTTATTTCCTGGATGGAATTTTAAAGAAAAATATGTGTCTTTTCCTCTATTGTCTGGAATCAAATTACCTGCTGCCCTGAGAGAGAATTGAACCCGGTCCCTGAATTATCACACAGTGAATGCCATCAACCCTCTAGAAGACCGTCACTGCCCCACTGGAGCAGCCATCGCTATCCTTATTGATACAAAATTTTCTTTTGTGGAATATAAGATTATTTCTTTTCCCTACTTTTTTATTAGCTTTTAAAAAATTTATTGTATTGTAGGACAGACTTCATATAACCTAGAAATAAATACATTGTCAGTTGTATATATTGCAAATGCCTTCCATTATTGGAAGCTTATGACTTTTTTTTACTATCTGTTATTGTCAATTTTAACGTGATTAAAGTTATTAATGCATTATTTTATTTGAGTTCTTGACTTCAATGTACTTCCTTGAGAAAGCCACCTTGAAAACAACAATCATTGTCTTTTAGAAAACAAAGAAGGGATGTGACAGCAGGAAAAGTGCAGAGGCCAAGGAAGGGTGGCCTCAGATTTCTTATCAGAGGGAACATCTTGAATTTATGTAAATAGTAGGAATACTTGGTGGAATGCCCTCTAGCACAGTTTGCTACAGATAACACAGCATTAGGTGTGTCCACCCTGTACCCTTGCTCAAAAGATAGAGTCATTCAGCAAAGTAACCTACAGGACTGATACAGCACTGTAGTGTCACTATCAGAATAAATGTCCTTTAAACTCAGAGATATTAATATCAACTCAACACACACACACACACAAATACCTTATGACTAACAGCTCATAAGTGCAAGTCATTGTCCAGAGTCTGAGTGAAGTTTGTGACCTTGGAAAATAGAAGCCAATTGAGTCTCTGGAGTGAAACCCATGCCCCTGACCTAATTAACACTGTGTGAATAGAAACTGAGATACATGTCATCAGAATAGAATAATAGAAGATCAATACCATATGCTTTGGTGACAACTCAACAAGATCCAATTATTATAGCACTTTGAAGATTCCATTCCCCGATAGGGTTTTCTACTGACGTGAGCTAGTAAATCATGTTCTTTACAGTGTGGTTTAAGCCAAACATATCTGAATTTTTAAGAAGAAAAGAAGGGGCTTCTCTGTCTCATGTACATAAAGATAGTGTGCTTTATTTTTTTATGTAAAATTTTAAAACTTCCTTCAGTCCTTGAAACATGTGAGTTGAGTGTTTTTAATGTATGAGGTAGAGATTCACTTTGTTTCTTCATATGAATAATGAAGTTTTTAAAATTAATTAATTTTAAAGGGTTTATTTTTCTCTACTACTCTGCAATTGATAAAAGTAATAATTAGATAATTTCATGTGTACTCCAAAAAATAAATACAGATAAATGATGAGTAATCTTTAAGTGGAAGTATATCGGTAAGGATTTGTTCAGGAGAGTAGAACAAAAGTGCTTGCTGGTAAAACTGTTGCAAGGGCTGGAGGAAAGAGGTCAAGGAACTTACCTCTGAAGATTAAGAAAGCTAAAACAAAAGATTTCAGCCTAAAGTCTAAAACAGTTAGTTACAAAAGATTGATGAGTAGCAGCTGCAAAACTCAAAAATCACTGAGAATCTCCCCCAAATTTCTTAATCTGCAGCAGTAATGCAGATAGCTCTTAGGAGCTCAATTGCAAACTACTGTGAATCTCACATCTGCCAATACTTCTGGATATAATTGCCTCCAGAGAGTAATGTCTTCCCTTCTGCCTTCTAAATCTCTCATGAGTTTCTCTTATTGGAAAATATTAAATATGAACAATACAGAAAAGAAGAATCTGGAAAATGTGGTTTCCAGCCTGACCACCACAATGCAAGGGAAGCCTTAGAAGTGGGTGATGATGATGCTAAGTTAACAGCAGACAATCTAGAATAGGACACAAGGACAAGAGAGGGGGACTGTGTAGGAGGCTGAGAGAGTGTCCATGTTCAAGTCCCAGCAATAGGTTGAGGGACTCAAGGGACAGAGCCACCCAAGATAAGCCTACTTTAGATCAGCTAACCTACTGGTTAGCTGACCACAGAAGCATGAGTGAGACCAACCAAGTCTGGAAAATCAGCCACCCCAGCTAGATCAGCCTAAGGTAGATCAGTCAAACGTCAACTAATCCTCAGATTCTTAACTAACATAAATTCTTATTGTTGAAGGCTGCTGAGACTTTGTGGTCATTTGTTATCCAGCATTTTTGTGGCAAGAGCTAACTGATACACAAGAGTATGAAAAGCTCTTATGTCACAAGGGCACACCTAACCTCATTAGAGTGGGAAAGTATATTATTGCCCTGGAAGTGAGAAGGAAGAGGTAAATTTTTTTTAAAACAATAATCCAAATTATCAAACTTAATATCTGAAATGTTGGACAAGTACTTCTCAAGAGATGTAATTTTTTCTTGCTATTCTTTAAAAATTTACTTAGTTGAGGATTGTTTTCCTCTTCAACTGAATAAAAACTCTTCTGGACCCCATAAATTCTCTTCTAATCCTTAGGTATTAGAAAGGGTAAAGATTACTTTCTATCACAAACACTGCCTCAATTCTGTAGTTAAATTTCCTTTTCCCTCATTGGATCTAGCTGCAGGCAAGTAAGTGAGGTTCAGAAAGGAGTCGTAATGCTACTTTGTCTCTTTCTCCTCATTTTTCTCAAGTCCAGTTGCAGTTTCTGAACCCACTTTCTGGTGATGGAGTATGGAAGGAAGAATGAGAAGGTGATAACAATAATATTTTTCTTTGATTGCTACTGTATTAAAATGTTTTGGCTTCTCTTGACCTGGATGATGGTTAAGACTCATTCTCTTGTCACTTCTAGCCCAGGGGATATTCAGAGACTGCTGCACTGCCTTCCCACACATCCTGTAAGTATACTTTTTCCTGTGAATTCTTCTCCTCATATCCTGGTTTTGTAGTGATGTATTACCTACACATCTCTTATTCTTTCCTGGAGCTTCCTAGGCTTTCTAATAGGTTTTCTTGAGAAGAATTGAAAATGGTTTCATACCATTTCTCTCTCTCACATAATCCACCTATGGTCCATAGGAAACATTTTTACTTCTATTGCCCCACCATCAGGAGAAGTGAAAGTATTTCCCAAATAGAATTTTATTCCATAATTCCAGTTCTCTCTCTCTCTCTTTCTCTCTCCTCTCATTCATCTTTCCTATTGCCCTCACTCTCATAAAGCAAGGGATATACATCAAACTCTTTAAATCATTCTTTTGAAACTTCTCCTACTAAACTTCAAGTGAGGAGGAAATCATCCCCTTCTTGGCTGGAAGATTTGGGGCTCTCTGTGCAGCTTTCTCAAAAAACAAAGAAACAAACAAAAAAATACCACTCTACAAGAACCTCTCATCTCCAGCTCTTAGGAAATTTTTAGATCCACATCTAGGTTGAGAGGCTCAAAAGTTATGAAATGGATTATTGGGTATTTTATATAAACATCTTCATTTTGTATCTTACAGATACAAAATATCTTGCAGATACTCACTTTGGTATCTGGTATCTATCAAATCTTGGTGCCTCAGATAAAACTTCCAGTTTAACATCCTGACACCAGCTGCTCCCTCTTCCTGTGCTCATCAGGAAAAGATAGAACTTCATGTGTCTGGATGATTCTGATTTGTGAAGTCTCAGGTAGAGCAACACATCCTTTGGCAAGGTTTTCATGTCCTCTGCCACTAGGCTGAGCTAATTATTCCTCATCAGGAAACAGTGATCCATATAAACAATTATGGTCCTTGGCTGAATAGCTCTAGAGTCCAACAGCCAAGATTGAAAACTTCCTTTCACTACCTGCAATTTTAAGGAAGTCTTCTTCAGCTCTTTGAGCCTGAGTTTTCCCAAAATATCTCTTAGGGTTGTTGTCAAGATTAAATTAGATGATTTTAATGCATATTAAGCTGTTCAACCAGTACCTGAGACAATGGAGGTGATGTTAATTTTGCTGCTGATTACCTGTTTGTGTTCAGAGAGAAAGGAAGCATGGGCTATATTCCTGAAGGTCAATAAATCAGAGTGTTAATTATTATATAAGGAAAGTAAAATTTAATATGCTCTCCCTGAAAGTTCTAGAAGGGCTCAGGGTCCCTGGATGCTTGGGTGCCTGGGTGAAGGAGAAGCCATATTGTCACCAAAATGGAAAATCCTTTAGAAATGGAAATGTCAAAGGTCAAACACATTTGATAACAAATTTAATATTGGGAAAGGGCTATCCTGATGGCTTCTATTCATTGATACCAACTAAAGTGACATAGCAACCTCAAAGTATTTACAATCCACATTATCTGAGAAAAGAGCAAATTAATTCCCATAAAGCATATAACATTCTAATACTCTCCCTATCAGGTGAAAGAATAATGTCAGCAAAGATTTAGGAGTAACAGCTATGGAAACAAGACAAGTGAGCTATATTTTTAATAATTTGTATTTACATGTTACTATGGAAATAAGAGCATATGAGTGCTTTAAAAGAAAGGTAAGTATTGTTTGGAAGAATATGTTTTCTTACTCAAGAGTTTTTTCAAGGCCCCTTTCATGTCTTTATTTCTCAGGCTATAAATGAAGGGGTTTAACATGGGAGTGACCACTGTGTACATCAATGAAGCAATTATGTTATTGTCATTGGTGTTGTTGGATGAAGGAAGGAAATATAGACCAATAATTGTCCCATAGTAAAGGGTCACTACTGAGAGATGAGATCCACAAGTGGACAAGGCTTTGCCAATGCCCTGGGTAGAGGGAGCCCGGACGATGGTGGCCCCAATATGGCCATAAGAAACCAGGATGCCTAAGAATGGAAGCACAATGGTTGCTATTCCCACAATAAAGATTAGCAATTGGTTGAGGGAAGTGTCTGAGCAGGACAACTTGAGTAGGGCATCAAGGTCACAGAAGAAGTGAGGGACAGTGTGATCAGCACAGAAGGACAGCTGGGCCAGGAGGAGGGTGTGCAAAAGGGCACAAGCACAAGTAATGAGCCAGGACCCAGCCACCAGCATGGCACAAACGCTCTGACTCATGATGGTGGTATAATGGAGAGGATGACAGATGGCCACATACCTGTCATAGGCCATTGAAGTGATCAGGAAACTGTCCAAAGCAGCAAAGAAGATGAAAAAATATGTCTGTGTAATGCTTCCTGCATAGGGGATGGATTTGTACTTAGTGTGCTTGTTCATCAACATCTTAGGGACGGTGACAGATGAGAAGGAGATATCAGTGAAGGCCAAGTGGCTAAGGAAGAAGTACATGGGGGTGTGGAGGTGAGAGTCCAGCCTGATGAGCAGTATGATGAGTAGGTTCCCCAGCACCGTGGTCAGGTACATGCCCAGGAACAGGGTGAGGAACATGCTTTGCTGCTCTGGCCAGAAGGGAAGCCCCAAGATGATGAATTTGGACATGCTGCTCTGGTTCTCCCTCCTCATACTGGTATATCAGCTGGATGGGGAAAGTTTAAGGGAAAAAGAATGTTTCATGATAAAAAAAATGATCACTGTGGCATAACATAATAGAGATGTTCTTTTGATTTAGAGAATATCTTCATCTATATTTTCTTACATTTGATGCATGTTTTGCTGGTTAAACGTAGAAAAGTGTAGGTTTACTTTACATAGCTACTTTCTTTCTCAACCAGATGCCAGTCTCTGTAAATGATAATACTAATAGTTAATGTTTATTAAAAACTGTCCTGATGCTCTGTTCTAATAGCTTACATGTAGTAACTGAGTCAACAGTCTTAAGTAGGTGAGCTAGGTAGGTACTGTTATTATTCCCACTTTTGGATGGTATAACTGAGGCAGACAGTCACACAGTCACTGAGGTAAGAAGAAGAGAAAATGGGCTTTGGTGTCCAAGCATTTTGACTTCGGAGTTTGGTCTCTGGAAGCAAAACAAATGATTTGACATCAGAAATCTCATTGCCCGTCATAATTTTGTGGGTAATGAGCTGTTTAATTTTGTAAATTTTGCTTCTCTACACATTCCATGATTATTTCTAATTTGTTCTTTGATTGTAGACCCAGAGTGTATCACAGACAATTAATGTATACCCAATACAAGTTTGTTTAACAAATCACAGATGGCACATACAATTAAATTCATTATGGCAGCCTCTTTAAGAAACTTACATCAGTCCTTGTTGAAGACCCAGATTTAACCCTAATAATCCCAGGACCCCTGGCTATTTAGCTTCCACATGGCATCACATTCAAAGAAGTACAATCTAAAAGCCAAACGTAACTTTAAAAAGGAATTATAATCTTTTTGGCATCTCTAAAATAGCCTATTAGAAATTTATTTCCTAACCCAAATCAATGTTTATCAAAATATCTATATATTTTTAAAAGAGAAGTTTGGGATTCCCTATAATGTATCAAAGTGATTATAAAGCTATACTTATTACAACACATAATGTATTTTTACAAAGATAAACCAATGAAGCAGTGGAAGAAAACAGAGAGCCTAGAAACAGACATGTTTATAATGAAGACTTGGTCTCACTGTCTTTTTGTCAGCTAGATTAAGAAGGTGACCATGTACCAGTCCCAGTTCACTCACCCCTAACTGAATGAAAGGAAGAGTGTAATTATGAACCAACTTAATCCAGTGTTAAAAATTCGTGTTAAATGATAACTTTCAGTGACTACAGTAAAGTAGCCATCTGGCTCCCTATGTCTGGAAGCAGATCATATCATAATATTTATGAATGCTTTACCAGTTGGTCTCCCAGAAACAAATGAAGGATAGTTTGCTATTTAGTCCCAGAGGCAGAAGGCTTTCTGCACAGATTCCAGAAGAATCTCAGCAGACCCAACCCTGAGCCCACAATATTCATGGATTCTGGAAAATGAGTGATGGAAGACTCTCTCTAATTTTTTTAAGATTCTTCAGATTATCTAGGTCAGTTTTTCTTAAGGGGACATGCATAACTATGGCTATGTAGTGTGATTTCCAGAACAACACTGAACCTTCCATACCCCTACCCAGAACACCACCTTCAATAGGATGCTAGTATCTGAAATTCTTTTAGCAAGAGAAAAAGGGCTCTAAGTTCTCAACTTTAGATTCAATTTAAAAATAAATGTTCTTGGGATAGAGAGCCTCTAGCCAGCACTCTCACTGAGATGGAATGTCTGGAAGTTGTTCATATTTGGGGACAAGGTTTAGATGGCAGAACAAGGGCACTGACCTCCTCAGACAAACTGAGGAAGGAAGAGGGTTGAGGAGTATAGGTAGAATGGAGCAGAGGCTGTGGACACTGAGAACAAATTTACTGTCTTTCCAATTTGGCTGAGATAACTGCTACAGGGCTAGAAATAATTACATTGTTAACAAAATCTGATTTAGTACTTAATTTGTACGCGGTGCTTTTCAAATACTGTTCACTTCTTCTCACAGCATTTCAACAGAGGCATTCTGGTTCTCATTTTAGAGAGGAGAACGTTGGGACTCAGTGATGGAACTTGACTGATATTATAGCACTAGTATGCAGTGAACCTGGGATTTGATCCCAGGCCTATCTAGATTCAAAGACTACATTCTTCCCACAATGTTACATGCCTTCTTTAACTATATCCTCAAGCAAGACTGTACTTGCTGCCTGAGAGCACTCAAGAATTTCAGGAAGTGACTCAAGACAGTTTGAGAGTGGATGAAAATCTTTGGCTTCAAGCTATGTGCCTTGATGGTAATATCAATAATAATAATAATAAAATTCTAACAATCATTCATTAGTCACATATTCACTGTGTGAATAATATAGGCCAGCTGCTGTAACATGTACTTTATATCATATCAGCTTAAGAGGACCACAGAATTGCATTATTCTCATTTAACCAGTTGGAAACTAAGACTGAGAGAAGGTAAGTAATTTGCCTAAAATCATTCAGCATGAAAATGATGGACAGATCATTCAATCTCAGATTTACCTGATTTCAAAACCATGTTCTAACCACTATGCAATATTGCCTCCAGCAGAACATGATTTGATGAAAAAGAGACATATGTTCTCCTCATTAAAGAGAAAAATATGGGACCCGTAATTTCCATGAAAGCCTTTGGATGGATGCATTGCCTCCATCCTTAATTAGATAATCAGTAGTGAATAGAGAGAGTAGGATACCAGCTACTGGGTTTACAAAGGCTACCCATAAAGTGAATTTCTCAAGGGTCCAGGACAAAAGCAGATCAGACCCTGGCTGATATTTTTTATGGACTATCTAGTTTCTTCAAACAAGGCAAAGATTAAGGCAACTATGGTGCACATCTATTGAAGTAATATCACATAGCAAATAAAATGAGTTCATGAAAACTTCACGACATAATATTTGAACGAACATAACAGAAAATTACATATATTTCTGTTTCATAATTATTTGCAAAAAATTCAGATTATTATTATTTTTAACCCTAGAAGATTGTGCTTATAGCTTGGATTCAGGGCAGATATTCATCAAAACTATGAAAGAGATAACATTTTCCTAGAGAGGAATGTACAAACCACATGGAATTGTAATTATGGTATCCACATAAGATATTCAATATCTCACACAAAATTACGTAAATTTCCTCGCACGAGTGTGCAAAATTTTGTAGTTGATCATTCACACACGCAAACACACATATTGCTGAGTGAAGTATACAAGTACTGTCATTACCTACTTTGAGAGTGAATAATTCAAATACTGTCATCTCTGGGGTGTAAACTAATTTTTCGTTTTCTCTCCAAAAGACTTAGAGCTGGGACAAGGAGAAAAGTCACAAACTCAACCCTGAGGTGAGGATGAGGTACACTCGCTCTTTTTCACCACATTCTAATAATGACAATGGTCTCCATTTTTATGAGGCAGGCTGGGAACCCAGGGGACCCATCCACAAATTTCTGGTGAGGGACTATATGGGAGTAATTATTGCATTTTCCTTACCCATTCCCAGGGGAGATGTGCCTTTCTTGCATACTAAAGATAGTTAACTCTGCAGAATATAAATTTATTATTTGCAGTTTCTTTTATTTATCAAGAATTTTCACATCTATGAGTTCATTTAGTTCTCACAATAATTCTTGAGGTAGATAGTGTTCTTGTCATTTTATTGTGTTTGAGCATGGCTCAAAGGAAAATGGCCAAATGAAGATTCAAACCCAAACACACTAACTTCAAACTGAAAACCTAATTCCATTGCACTATGATGCCTCCATTGGAGTAGTGGGCTCTGTATTGTGTGGACTTCTTACTTCCCATATTCAATGCAGAACTGGGAGGAGCATTGCCACTAGACCCTAAGGAATAAAAACACTTGTCAAGGAATAGTTGAGCTTCTGTTTCTCGGAAATAGAGGGTTTTTATTCCTACACAAACACCTGAATGCATGTAGAGATTTTTTTTGTCAACTATGACACATAACAGTTAGCACATACTCAGGGCTCAAAATATATTCTTTAATCATAAGAATGACAGTGTGAGAAGTCTTTGGAAACTTGTTCCATTCAGATTGGCAAATATCAAGAAGAGACAAAGATTGAAGTGGAGGCACTTTATCCATTATTTTTCCAATAATACATTCATTTGTTTATTTATTCATAAAAATATTGTGTACCTACTTTGTGGCAAGGATTTTGTGAGTACCCTGGGTAAACATTTGAAACACAGTTTTTTTTTTCTCTCAAAATAGCTCCAAGTGTAGTAAGAAAGGTAGACAAGACAGTGTGTGTCCAATGCTATAATGAAGGAGAGTGCTAAGTGTCATTGGAGCAGAGAGGAGGGGTATCAAACCCAAATTTAAGAGGTCAAGTAAGGTAGGCTTGTAGGAAGCTATATGTAAGCAGAGATCTGAGACAATCAAAGCAAGTGAAAGGTGATGTGGACAGTGTAGAGGCAGATATTTGGAAGGAAGAGAAAGAGGAATAGGAAAATACTTGGAGAATAGAAAGAATGAGAAGTTTGGAAAACTGTTATCAGGAAAATTAGAAGAGCTGGAATGTACACTTCAACAGAGAAAGAGGTTCAGGATAAGGCCAGAGAAATTTGCAGGAATGAATCATGCAGTGCCTTGGAAGCCATGCTGAACAATTTTTACTTTATCCAAAAAAGAAAGGGAGAGCACAGAAGAATTTCATCAGAATATTGACAGTGTCATATTAAAAACTATCACTGTAGGCAAAGAATGGATAATGAGCCTCTCTTTGCAGTGGGTGGAGGAAATGTTGGCAGGGCAGGAACTGAGTGTTTGGATGCAAGACCAGCAGCAAGGAGACTAGTTAGGAAGTGGTCACAGTCATTTGGGTAAGAGATTATTGAGGTATGTCTAAGAGAGATAATGGAATTGGAGAGAACTATATGTATTTAAGTCTCCTTTAGAGTCAAAATCTTAGGGATGTGCTCGTTTTAACATGAACTGATTTTCATAAGACTGTAGAAAGTGAGGAAGA